CAAGCACCAGCGCGTGCACACGGGAGAGCGGCCCTACCAGTGCGGCGAGTGCGGGAAGTTCTTGCGCTACACGTCCACCCTCCTGCGGCACCGCGGGGTCCACGCGGCCGAGAGGCCCCACGAGTGCAGCGTGTGCGGGCAGTTCTTCCGGCGCAAGGCCACGCTCGTCAAGCACCGGCAGGGTCACGCCGGGGCGGGGCCGTACGAGTGCGGCGAGTGCGGGAAAGCCTTCGCCTACCACTGCCGGCTCCTCAGGCACCAGAGGGTTCACTCCGGAGAGAGGCCCTACGCGTGCAGCCAGTGCGGGAAGGTGTTCCGGTACAACTCCAGCCTCATGAAACACTGGAGGAACCACACCGGGGAGAGGCCCTTCGCGTGCGGCGAGTGCGGCAAAGCCTTCAGCCACAGACACGTACTCGTGGAGCATCAGAAAATCCACACGGGGGAGCGGCCCTACGCCTGCAGCGTGTGTTCGAAGGCCTTCGTTAGGAAGTCCCACCTTGTCCAGCACCTGAAAATCCACACTCAAGACAGGCCCGGGAGAGGCGAGAGGGTGAGGAATTCTTCGTCTACCGCTCCCGCCTCACTGAACAGAATTCACGCTGGCAAAGAGCTCAGGGGCTCAGAGACTGCGGTAAACCTATTGGATACCACGCTAAACCCATTCCCCTGGAGAAGGGCCTTGTGAGTTCATTCCGGGTCAGGGCCTTCCGAACACAGTGAATGCGAGAGCATCTGTAAGTGTAACCCCCCACCCCGTGACACATCAGAGATCTCACAGTGGAGAAAGGCTGTGAGTGCAGTGACTATGGGCATGTGCTCAGCCAAAACGCCAACCACAGTCTGGCACCCAAGGTTCCTGCCAGACAGAGTATTGCAAATGGTGAAGGTGTTCAGCCAGATGTCTGCTCCATGTCTTGGAACTACTGTAATGTAGTTTTTAATTGTGGTAAAATACACGTAACCAAGTTTACCCTCTGGCATTTTAATGGCACTGTTTAGTCATGTTAAAAATTCACACACACACACACACACACATCTTACCCAATAATAGACAAACATGTAAAAATGACTGTACCTTCCCTATGCCCACAGCCAATCAGAAGTGAGTATGCAAATTAACACGATAAAGATGGTGGGTTAATTTGCGTATATGGGCATGGAGCCTCTGGGAAAGTCAGGATGCCTGCTATGATGGGGTGGTGTTGGCGGGGGGGGGGGGGGGGGGGGGAAGGGGGGGGGGACTATAGGAGTGGAGCTCCAGCTGGGAGTGAGAACTTACAAGTGCAGACTTGCAGGCTTCCGGGTGGCTGGGAGCGAAGCCAGGGGAAGAAAGGCCTATCCTTCCACTATATATTATGCAACAGGCCTCTAGCATTCACATATTTGTGCAACTAATCTCCAGTATTTTTTTTTTATCTTGCAAAACTGAAACTCCATACCCACTAAACAGCTCCTCCAACCCTTGCCCTACTGCCCCAGGCAACCACATTCTGCTTTCTGTCTCTCCCAATTTGACTCCTCACGATATTTCATATAAGTGGAGTCATACAGCTTTTGTGTTTCTGTGACTGGCTGCCTTGGCTGAATGTAATTTCCCCACGCTGAAGCTTTTGTCAGCATTTCCTTCTAGTTTGAGAAGGAATCAGGGTTGACCCACCAAAGATATGGGGAATGGTGCTGCTAGGATCCATAGAGCTTTGCCAGATGTTACGATATTTCTGCAGGAAGGGAGGTCTAGATTTTATATGGACTCTTTATTTAACAGCTGTTTTGATATCTTGACAGAAATGGCATTTTTTTAAGTGTAACATATTTTCATATGTGGGTGCACAATGGGACCATCACCAAAGTCATGGCAATGAATAGATCCATCACCCTATTGTTTTCTTTTTTAAGTATTGATTTTTTTCAGGGAGAAATAAGCATTGATTTTGTTGTTTCACTTATTTATGCATTCCTTGGTTGATTTTTGTATGTGCCCTGACTGGGGGATTGAATCCACAACCTTGGCGTACAGGATGAGGCACTAGCCAACTGAGCTACACTTCCAGGGCCAGTTTTTATTGGTCCTTTTATTGTCTCTCCCAGTTCTACCCAACTGGTCATTCCCAGGTACACACTATCGTTTGCATTTCTAGAATTGTATAAAAGAAATCCTACAGTTACTCTTGTATAGCTGTTTTTATTAAGTGTATATATATGTTTTTTAGTATTATCCATGTTGTGTGTGCAAAAGCATGGCATCCAATAAGAAGCAGGGCTCCTTTCATAGAGGGAGAGGGAGATAGTAACATCAATGATGAGAGAAAATCATTGATCAGCTGCCTCCTGTACGCCTACTGGGAATGGAGCCCCCAACCAGGCATGTGCCCTTGACTGGATTGGAAACTGGGACCCTTAAGTCCGCAGGCCAATGCTCTATCCACTGAACCAAACCGGCTACGGCTCACATGTCTATTTCTGACACTTGTGCTAGACAGCACCCCAGGAAAACGAAGGTATGTCCCCTTTAAGAGCTACTAAACCCCACTGCATCCTTAAGAGACTGGGAACTCCAATTCCCAGCGCCCCTCGCGTCCTAGATAGGCCTCTACCCCCAAACTGAAGAACTACCACCTCAGCCAAAGAACCAGTGGAGAAACTACATTACCCAGGAGGCCCTGTGGCAACCGATGGACGGCGAAAAGAGCCAATGAGAGTTTAGCATGGAGCCGTTTACGTGTTCACGCGCGCTGAAGGCGGGACTTCCGGCGGAGTCCCTCGGGCCTTGAAAGGGATTTCTCTCGGATCTCAGGGCGGCGGGGCTGGGGGCGGTGCCCAGGACGAAGCGAGTGGGGGGCGGCGGGCGATGTCCCTGTTCCCGCCTCGTCGCCCCCGCTCCTCCCTCAGGCCGGCGGGAGGGCTGCGGCCGAGGAGCCCGTCTGAGGTGGGTGCTGCGCCCCCCGCCGTCTCCTCCCAGCCCGAACCCGGATGGAGGGGCGGGTCCGCGTCCGCCGTCAGGAGCGGCAGCGCCCCCTCAGGGGCGGCCTGAGCGCTGGGAGCCGGGATCTCTGTGGCCGTGGGCGAGGGGTGTCGCCTCGGGGTCTCTGGGGCCAGGGGCGAGGGATGTCCCCTCGGGGGCCGACCTGAGCGGCGGGGTGCTTGGAAGGTGGAGATTTCTAAGAAACGTGTATGGGGTCGTTTTGGTGACCACAGTGTGTCTGCTCCCGTCACAGAAGCGGTCTCACAGCCCCCCAAGCCCTGGGAGAGCCCCCGGTGTGGACGGCCCGGGGTCCTTCGGTTGAGAGAAGCGGGAAAAGCTTCTGAGCCTGGTGAGAACCGACGCTGTGATTGGCGGGCTGAGGACTTCCGGTCGGGAGAGTGACTGGCCGTTAAGTAGTGGGTCCTGTCATCAGTCACTTCTGTGCAGCGAACCCTCCATAAGACCCCAACGGGATAGGGTTCAGTCCAAGCGTGTCAAACTCAAGGCTCACACAGGCGGAATAAACAAGGTTTACATGGATGTGGACGCAAGAAAAACAAAAGCTTCCGTTTTCATAGAAACGTAGGTTTATTTCGAGAGACATGCTGAATGCAGAGGGCTGAAATAAATTAGTCGTTAACACAAGATAGTAGAACATTTTTTAAAATATATATTTTATTGATTTTTTACAGAGAGGAAGGGAGAGAGACTCAGAAACATCAATGAGAGCAACATCGATCAGCTGCCTCCTGCACACCTCCACTGGGGATGTGCCAGCCCTTGACTGGAATCGAACCCGGGACCCCTCAATAGTATATTTTAATAAAAGTTTTCGGCAATAGTAGAATATTTTAATAAAGATTAATATTTATCCTTGAACACGAACTAACCAGACACTGAAGAACTGCACAAATGAATAAAGGTCACACAAATAAGATATTTTTCTTGTTCTCTGAAAGCAAAATATTTCCTGTTGAGCCCAGCAAACAAGTCAGTCCAAACTAAGGATGGGGCCATCGGCGGCTAGACTATTTGCTGCTGGTGTTAGTGGAGAGAAACAGTGCACCGGTGCATATAGTCTATAAAGGAAATGAATGCCATGCTATTACAGTAATCAGTCATTATCAAATGTTGTGGTTATTAATTTACTAGAGGCCCAGTGCATGAAAATCGTGCAAAAGTAGGCCTGCCTTCCCCGGACTGCTGGCACCAGTTTCTCTCTGGGACCCAGGACCTCGGTTTCCCTCCCAGCTTCATCTGGAAGGTCGTCCAGAAGGACATCCAGGAGGACATCTGGTCTACTTAGCATATTACACTTTTATTATTATAGATTATGTTTAACAGGATATTGTAAAAATTAAGTTGCGGAACTTTTATTACAAAGTTTCTCACATGCCTTTATATTGCCTGGGCTGCAAAAGTATTCGTTGTCAGCCGCAAGTGCCCGCCAGCAGAGAGTTTGACATGCTTGCCCTGCAGAGAGGAGCAGGATGAACTCTGCCCTGTATTTACGGGAAGTGAGGCCCAAAATTTCAAATTAGATTTAAAAAATAAGTGTCCCGAGTCCCAGCCCCAGTCCAGGTGCATGCAGGAGGCAGCCAATGGACATGTCTCTTTTCCCCTCTCATAACCCTCCCTCCATCTCTCTCTAGAAACCAATGAAAATAATATCCTTGGGTAAAAGTTTTTAAAATATATATTTTTTATTGATATTTATTTACTTATTTATTTTACAGAGAGGAAGGGAGATAGTTAAAAACATGAATGAGAGGCTGAAACCGGTTTGGCTCAGTGGATAGAGCATCAGCCTGCAGACTGAAGGATCCCAGGTTCGATTCCGGTTAGGGGCATGTACCTTGGCTGTGGGCACATCCATGGTGGGGTGTGTGCAAGAGGCAGCTAGTTGATTCTCTCTCATCGATGTTTCTAGCTCTCTATCCCTCTCTCTTCCTCTCTGTAAAAAATCAATAAAATATATATTTAAAAAAAGAAAGAAACATGGATGAGAGAGAAACATGGCGTATTCCTTGCTAGACTATGGCCTTTCTCCAGTGTGGACTTTCCAGTGTCGGATGAGGGAAGCCCTTTGCCTGAAGGCCTTCCCGCACTCACTGCACTTATATGGCCTTTCTCCAGTGTGGATCCTATGGTGCTGAACAAGCACATGCTTGTGGCTAAAGGCTTTCCCACACTCGCTGCACACGTAGGGCTTCTCACCATTGTGGACCCTCTGGTGTGCAACAAGGTCGGAGCTTTGGGTAAAGAATTTCCCGCACTCAATGCACTCGTAAGGCCGTGCCCCGGTGTGAACACTCCAGTGTTTGATGAGTCTGTATTTGTGACCAAAGTATTTCCCACATTCGCTGCACTCGTACGGCCTTTCTCCAGTGTGGACGCTCTCGTGCTGGACAAGCGTGGATTTGTGGCTGTAGGCTTTCCCACATTCATTGCATTTGTAAGGCCTTGCTCCAGTGTGAACTCTTTGGTGTACAATAAGGTTTGAGCTGTGATTGAAAACTTTCCCACAGATGCCACATTCGTAGGGCATTTCTCCAGTGTGAATTCGCTGGTGCTGAGCAAGGATGGGTTTGCGGCTGAAGGTTTTCCCACACTCGCTGCACTCGTATGGCCTTTCTCCAGTGTGGACTCTGTGGTGCTGGACGAGCGAGTCTTTGCGGCTAAAGGCTTTCCCACATTCGCTGCATTCATAATGCCGCTGTCCACTACGCAAGGCCTCCACACACGTGCCGTCACCCTGCGGAGCGCGGTGCTGGGAACTGCCCGAGCGAGCTGAGAAGTCCTCACGGGCCTCCCCAGGCACAGAGGGCACCTCCAGGGGCTGGACAGGGCAGCTGTTCACGAGAAAGGCCCGGCCCTCGTCTTCTCTGAAGGGCTTCTCTCCCCGACTCTGTTTCTGGTGCTGAAGGTTCCCACTGAGCCAGAATTGTTCCCCACACGGCTTCTGCCCAGAGTGTGTTGCTTGGTGCTCAGCCAAGTGTGAAATGTCTTTCAGGACCAGGCCACCTGCCTCACGGGAGTAGGCTTGCTGGGTGGCAGGGCCTGACTTGAGAGTCCCGACCTGTGACACTCCTTCTGCAGAAACCCTTTGCTTAAAAGGTATCTCATCCTCCACGCCAGGCCAAGAACCTGAAAGCAGACAAATGCTGGTGAAGTTCAAGTTAACACTTGTCTGGTTACAAATGTGTGTCTCACAGAACTAAGAGCAAGGTCATAGCTCAAGTTGAGCAAGGATGAGTATAGGGCTACCATGCAGCAGTTTACATATCAAAGGTCATAGAAGGGGCCCTCACTGGTTGGCTCTGCAGATAGAACGTCAGCCTATGGACTGAAGAGTCCCAGGTTCGATTCCAGTCAAGGGCACATGCCTGGTTGCAGGCTCAATCCCCAGTAGGGGGCCTGCAGGAGGCAGCCAATCAATGAGACTCCTAATCAATGAGTCTCTCTCATCACTGATGATTCTATCTTGCTTTCCCCCTTTCCCTTCCTCTCTGAAATCAATAAAAAAAAAATTTTTTTTTAACAAAAAAATAAAGTCACAGGAGGGAAGAGGCCTTGACTGGGGGCAGAAACAAATGTGGGGTACAGCCCAGGAAAGCGAGGGTCTCCGATGACGCCATCACAGCAGCTTTCAGGAAGGCCGTGGCTGCTGGAGGCAGGTGAGAGCTGTGTACAGGTTTGTTTCCTGAAGAGGTACAACGGAATCACTGGTATTTAAGGACTATCTGGGGGCTGTGGAGAGCTGACACATTTAGCTCAGGCAAACGTTGGAGAGCACTGCAGAGGGAGCAGTGGAGAAGAGTAAGTGTGATGTGGAGGCAGAGGCCAGGGACAGACAGGTCAAAGGGCAGAGCACAAAAGGCAAGTGTTATAAATGGGAAGTAAAGCCGAGACTGGTTTGGCTCAGTGGATAGAGCGTCGGTCTGCGGACTGAAAGGTCCGGGGTTCGATTCCAGTTAAGGGCATGTACATTAGTTGCAGGCACATCCCCAGTAGGGGGTGTGCAAGAGGCAGCTGGTCAATGTTTCTCTCTCATCGATGTTTCTAGCTCTCTATCCCTCTCCCTTCCTCTCGATAAAAAATTAATAAAATATATTTTAAAAAATAAAATAAAATAAATGGGAAGTAAAGACAAAAAAGGAATGTGGCGCTAAAACAACTGCGGGCATCGAGAGGGTGGGGACTGCCTGGGGCCCAGCTTGTTATGACACCCCCAACACCCACTCACCAGGACCACACCCACTCTGGTCCTGGCTGGACTCATGTGTGCCCAGTCTGACACCCAGGGTACCCATGGCTGGGACATAGGAAGAGCCAGGACTCCCCTGGAAAACAGGAGGGGCAGAGCCCAGTCCAGGACCCTGGGGTGGGTGTGAGGAACTCACCCAGCGAGGCCAGAAGGGCGAAGTTCTCCAGCATCACGTCGCAGTACAGGCATCGCTGAGCCTCGTCCAGGAGCCCCCACTCCTCCGGGGAGAAGGACACAAACACGTCCTCCACATTCACCTGTGCCTGCCAATGGTGAGAGCGCGTCCATGGGCAGCCTCTCCCCCCAAGGACACTCCCTCAGGCCCCCCGATTCCTTTTTTTTTTTTTTTTTTAATATATTTTATTTATTTTTTACAGAGAGGAAGGAAGAAGAATAGAGTTAGAAATATAGATCAGCTGCCTCCTGCATGCCTCTTACTGGGGATGTGCCCACAATCAAGGTACATGCCCTTGACTGTGGGCTGGCGAAGGACATGGTGGGCTCTGCCAGCAGGAAAGTGTAGGCTCAATTCCCAGTAGAGGGCATGTAGGAGGCAGCCAATTGATGATTCTCATCATTGATGTTTCTCTCTCCCTCTCCCTCTCTGAAATTAAATAAATAAATGCTCCTATATATAACAAAAGGCTAATATGCAAATCAACCGAATGGCAGAACAACCAGTTACTATGAAGCACACTGACCACCAGGGGGCAGATGCTCTATGCAGGAGCTGCCCCCTGGGGGACAGTGCCACTCGGCCAGAAGCCAGGCTCATGACTGGCAATCACAGCAACAATGGCGAAGCTAAGCCATTGGCAGCACTGAGGATGTCCGACTGATGGCTTAGACCAGCTCCCGGTGCCATCAGTCAGACCTCCCCCAAGGGCACAGGTTGGGCTGAGGGACTCCCCCTAGAGTGCACGGATTTCATGCACCGGGTCTCAAGTAAATAACTAAATGTTAAAAATAACAACAGAGGCCTAACTCCCACCCACCTGCTTTTGATACCTATTTAAGGACTTGAGAACTCCCATCCCCTCCCTCCAAGTATTTGCACCTTCCACCCCTTATTCCACAGCTACCAGAAACGAGAACCCTTCCGTTCGACCCCAGGCTAGGACCCGGCACTGTGGGCTGGGGCTTTCTCCAGGGTCTGCAGCCTCAAGAACTGTGGGTGTGCACGTGGCCTGACACCATAATCCTGGAGGCCAGGGGGGCGGGGAGGGGACCAGGGAGCACAGCATCCGCCCCTCACCTGTACAGGGTCCATCATCACTCCCGAGCTCCGGGGAACCTGTGGGGAGAGGGAGACCGTGAGAGACCAGCAGCCAGGACGGGGCCTCCAGGGCTCAAGCCTGTCCCCTGGGCTTGCCCCGCCCGCCACCGAGACCCAGGGCTGCTGCCCACCTTCTGTGCTCAGGCCTTAGAGCCGCCGAAGGCTGTGACCTGGGATTGGGTCTCCTTGCTGTGCCTCGCTGTCCTCGTCATCCCCCACCCTGCGCGCCAAGTCTGTGCATCCCTGAGCAGCCTGTGGAATTCTTATAAAACCCTCCAACCGCAGGACCGGCGTGACTCAGTGACTGAATGTCAACCTATGAACCAGGAGGTCACAGTTCAATTCCCAGTCAGGGCACATGCTCGGGATGGGGGCTCAATCCCCAGTGTGGGGCGTATAGGAGGCAGCCTTTTCACATCATAAATGATTCTTTCTCCCTCTCCCCCCCTTTTTTTTTTTTTTTTTTAATAACATTGATTTTTCACAGAGAGTAAGGGAGAGGGATAGTTAGAAACATTGATCAGCTGCCTCCCCCACACTCCCCACAGGATTGCCCGCAACCAAGGTACATGCCCTTGACCTGAATCGAACCCAGGACCATGGAGTCCGCAGGCCAAGGCTCTATCCACTGAGCTAAACTGGTTTCGGCCACATATATATATATTTTTAAAAACACCTCACCCTAACTGTGTCGGCCTGCGAACTGAAGGGTCCCAGGTTCGATTCTGGTCAAGGGTATGTACCTTGGTTGCGGGCACATCCCCAGTGGAGGGTGTGCAGGAGGCAGTTGATGGATGTTTCTAACTCTCTATCCCTCTCTCTTCCTCTCTGTAAAAAATCAATGAAATATATTTTAAAAAAATAATAGCGGAAACCGGTTTGGTTCAGTGGTGGAGCTTCGGTCTGCGGACTGAAGGGTCCCGGGTTCGATTCCGGTCAAGGGCATGTACCTTGGTTGCGGGCACATCCTCGGTGGGGGGGTGTGCAAGAGGCAGCTGGTTGATGTTTCTCTCTCATCGATGTTTCTGGCTCTCTGGCTCTCTCCCTTCCTCTCTGTAAAAAATCAATAAAATATATTTAAAAATAATAACATTAATAATAATAAACACCTCAAACCGTTCTCAGAATGACAGCTGCTAGAGCTGACACTGCGGACGTCACTCCTCCTCGCACTGGGCCCCGCGGACACCGGCTGGTCGCCCTCCCCGGGTCCGTCACGCCACGTTTCCTCGGACTGCCGGTCAGACGCGGGCCCACGAGCGCCCCCACGGCCCGGACCCGGCAGCCCTCATTCTCGGGGCCTCAGGCTTCAGGGACGGAGGCCGGGGAGGAGCCAGGGCGCACACCCACCTGCGCGGCCTCCGCCTCCGGAAGCTGAGGGCGGAGGAGGCGCGGAAGGGAGGGGCTGAGGGCGGGAGACCAGAGCTCGGACCCGGGCTCCGGCGGCCCGTCTCCGTCCGGGTAGAACCGCCTCCGCGCCTGTCACCTCAGGTCTAACCCGGCCCGCATCTGGCACCCTGAGGAGGTGGGCTCCTCCGAGAGCAAAATGTCCGCCCAGGAAGGAAACCGGAAGTCCCGCCCCGACGCTTTCCCCACGCACGGAGACGACCCTTCCCGGGATTTTCATTGGTCCCGAGCCGCCGAGGCTTCTGGGAAACGTAGTTCCTACGGGCTCCAACCGTGGAAACGCGCGTCGCGCGCCGCCTCCCGGGCGAAGGCAGACTCACAGAGCCGGCGGCGCCTCGAAAGGGCGGACCAGGCCCGATGACAGGACGGGGCGGGCGAGACGAGGCTCAGGCCGCCGCCCCGGGGACCCCCGATCTGGGATCTGGGCGACCAGGTCCTCCCTCCACTCCCCGGCCCGGTCCGCGCGCAGAGTCCCATGGCGGCGGCCGCGCTGAGGCGCCGGCCTGAGGTGAGCGCGTCCCGCGCCCCGCGCCCCCCGAGAGCGCCCGCCGCTGAGGGGAGCCGGTGCCGGGGACCAGGGGTTCCGGTGGGGACTGGGCGCCCGGAGCAGCGGGGGCCCTGGCCCATCTGCCGTCGGAAGCGCGTGGGCACCGGGGCCTCGCGGGCTCCGCCAACCGCCCAACCGCCCCGGGTCCCACCGGCCCCGGCGACCGCCCAACCGCCCCCTGGGCCCACCGGCTGCCCGGGCTCGGGAAGGCGCAGGCAGGGCCATCGCTGTCCCACCGCCGCCAAAGGGCCAGAGCGCCCCTTCCCGGTCCTCCTGGGCCGGGTCCCTCCTCGGGGTAAGGAGTTTCCTCCTGCATCAGCCGGGCTGGGGCCCCCCAACCCCGCCAGGAGCTGAGGGCACGAGGTGGGAGGGGAGGGAGCAGGGCTCTCAGAGGCTTCCCCACCGCGGGGCCCGCAGGTTCCCCCGCGTTTTCTGCCATTTTTTCCTCAGATGCTTCTAATGCCGCCACCACGGCTTTAAATATATTTTACTGATTTTTAACAGAGAAGAAGGGAGAGGGATAGAGGGTTAGAAACATCGATGAGAGAGAAACATCCATCAGCTGCCTCCTGCAAACCCCCTACTGGGGATGTGCCCACAACCAAGGTACATGCCCTTGACCGGAATCGAACCTGGGACCCTTCAGTCCGCAGGCCGAGGCTCTATCCACTGAGCCACACGGGTTTCGGTGCCAGCACAGCTTTAATGATTGACATTAAACATTACCCCAATAGAAGCTGTACGCGCACCCCTGCAGTGGGGTGTGATGTCCTGATCAGAGGCCCCCAAAAACCTCTCCCCTTCCTCCAGGTGAGGTCACACCGAGGAGGCAGTGGATGGACCTGGAAGAGGGCTTTTGCTGGTGAAGCAACCTTTAAAGATAAATTCCTTTCCCTCTCCTTCATTATTTTCTTTCTCCTCCTTCCTACTCCACCTTCACTCTCAGCACATACACACCCAGTCATAGAGGTAGCCTGTCCTGAATCTTCTTTGAATATAGTTGAAGCTCAACCGGAGCTGGGTGTTTTTCTGTCGCACACGATCCTACACTGTGGTTGGTGGCACCATTTCTGGACACTCTTCCACCCAAATCTATTCAGTTCTTCATTTTTCAGAGTTAGACAGTCCTGTGCTTCTCAACGTGCCTTCAGGCTCCATCACAACTGTGTCAGCAGCATGAAAAAGTGCCTTATTTTCTCTGTGATTCCAGAAGGCACTCTGAGCTACTGTGATTTTTTAATGTCTTTCTTTCTTTCTTCAAGGTCAATTCTGGAGCGTTCCAGTCACAGCCATCTGTGTAAAGAGAAACCATACCAGCATTTAACAGAAGTATTGGAGGCCATGACCTAGGACCTAGGAAATGGGCCCACCAGACCCTTGAGAGGAGGGAAGTTGTTGATGGAGTGCCTTGCAGCCTGGAAAGGTGCCAGAAAACTCCGTGACCTCCTGTTTCATTCGTCGACGCTCATCAACTTGAGCCACGCCGGCCGGGCTTGAATCGTCTTTGCGAGCACTTTCCTTCTTCTCTGTGTCCAGCTGTATTTCTAACAGCACTGAACTGAAAACAACCCCCTGCCTGTGAACAGGAGAACACAGAGTGGCATCTCCATAGAGAAGACTAAGTAAAGGAAGTAAAGGATGACTATTCACATAAGCAACATGGGTGAAACTCAGAACGATAATGTGGTGTAAAACATCCGAAGAAAGAGGGAACACTTGGATTCCATCCATGTGACATTCTGGACAATGCATGCTAAGTTGTTGTTAAAGACAGTAAAGTCCGTGACTCCTGTAGGCTGGAAGGAGAAGGAGTGGTTATGAAAGGGTACAAGGTAAGTCGTGAACATGTTAACTGCTCATGATTGTTTTCTGGGCTTACATATCTGACAAAAGTTTTCCAAGGGCACACATTAGGTTCCTATAGATATCTTTGGTAAAGGCGCTAAAAAGTAGTTCAACATAAAATAAAAAAAAAATCTGGATCTTCCACAGGCTTTGGAAAGCAGAAGTCTGAAGCACCCAATGCTGACTCCACTCCATTCCCCTTATTCCTGGAGCGGGCGGCCCTGACTCCGTCTCGGAAATATTGGGAGCCACGGATCTGATGGCAGAGCCACAGCTGAGACAGCAGACGCCATTTTATGTCCTGCCTCTAAGCAACGGACTTGAGCTGAAGCCCAGAATGACAGCGGGAACTCACAAAACCTTTATTTTTTTAAATATGTATTTTGTTTATTTTTTTACAGAGAGGAAGGGAGAGAGGTAGAGTTAGAAACATCGATGAGAGAGAAACATTGACGAGCTGCCTCCTGCACAACCCCCACTGGGGATGTGCCTGCAACCAAGGTGCATGCCCTTGACTGGAATCAAACCTGGGACCTTTCAGTCTGCAGGCCCAGGCTCTAAACACTGAGCCAAACCGGCTAGGGCTATTTTTAAAAAAATATATTTTTTATTGATTTCAGAGAGGAAGAGAGAGAGAGAGATAGAAATATCAATGATGAGAATCATTGACAGGCTGCCTCCTAAACGCCCCTTGCTGGGGTTCGAACCTGGGCATGAGCCCTAGACTGGAATCAAACCGGGGACACCTCAGTCTGCAGGCTGATGCTCTGTCCACTGAGCGAAACCAAGAAGGGCATTTTTAAAAATTTACTTATTGTTGATCCTCAACCGAGGATATTCTTCCACTGATCTTTTTAGATAGAATGGAAGAGAGGGGGAAAGAGATAGAAACACCGATGTGAGAAAGACACATCGATTGTTTGCCTCATGCATGTGCCCTGACAAGCCCAAGGAGGAGCTTTCAACCAAGTACATTGAAAGGAATCGAACCTAAGACCGGTTGGTCCACAGGCCACACTCTATCCACCAAGCCATACCAGCCAGGGCTCACAAAACCTTTAGATTATTTGCTCTGACATTGACTTCAGCTGCAGGATACACCCTCTGGGGCTGCTCACAACCGCTGAGAGATTTCTGGACGCACGTTCAGAGGAGGCACCTCTGTCAGGTTTGCAGCAGCTCCTCTCTGCCTGTCAGT